ACACACACACACACACACACATTGATTTTCTTCATGTTTTGACTACTGCTCTGGTCAGCTGCATAGCTGGCATATCAGGTGAATTCACGGTTTGACGTTCCTGTGTAGAATGGGGTTAGCCCAAAACAGATATAATGTACAGGCCTGTTGGGTTCGGGTGGTCTTTCATCTTTCATCTGCCTGCGCGCAGTTTGGAGGTGGAAGATACCTGAGCGTGTAATGTTAATTTTACCTGTGATCCTTGAATAAACCAGCACGGTTTAGAAGTTACTGGGACCGCCTCGTCTCTCAGAGTTAGCATGGTAAGAAGTACTGGGAGGGAATTAATCCTTACATTACTATGGCTGCAGAGTGAACTAATGGCAGACTAATGAACTCTGTTGCTGCTGTCTGTCTGCCCCTCATGTCTCATGCATATTCTGCAAGGCACAGTGCCTAAATCAGAAGTTAAAAACCTAATCCTTTGTGTACTGATGAAATCCTGATGTCTCCATATTGGATACTGGGCATGTAGTTTCCATATGAACTGAAGTGGTGGAGCAACCTACAAACTGCCATTGCCATCCCCAGAGTGGTGACACCCTTCAGTTATGTGTCTGCATATGAGTAAAACAGATTCAGGTGACTCTGTGGGGAAATCTGTCTGATAGACTCCATTCAAACACACAGCTTGTGCAGCTCTGCGATGTGAATAAATCGCAATCACTAACAGGAATTAACAGCAATTAGACCCAGAGTCTCATGCATATGGATGTGCTCTAAAAGGAAGGCACTTTATTCAAATGAGACTTTATCTTCATAGAGCAGCGTCAGTTTCCCAGGGCAGGCTCTTTCACTTGTCAGAAATGAACCATCTTGTCTCTTTAAAGTTGCAGCCGGTGGGAGCTCCAATGATGAACATGGTGGTAGCCCTTCACATTTCAATTCATTTCTCTCATTTTTTTCTGTTTATTCAATGTGAGAAACAGATGTCACGACAAACAGCAAGAGAGTTGTGTCTCAGCAACAGGATTAACTTCCTTCCTGTAAAGTGGAGGAAATGCATCAGTGACTTGAGGAACCTCTATCTTGTATGATGTACAATCTACAAGAAGATTTAACTTTATCATGATAGGGTGTTTCACAATGTTAAGCCAATGCACGGTGATAAAAACTGGCAATGACTACATTTCTGGATTTAATGTTGACAATATAATCACACAGTGTTTTATGCTTTAAAATGTCCAGTGCAATTCCAGATTGATAAAACATGACATAAATGTCAGCTTTAAGCAAGATTACATTTTGTTAGGGAGGACGGTGCCACAGTGATAAAACACAGAGAAATCAATTTGAGATATTGATGAGATATCGGTACTGGTGACATCATTTCTACCTCCAGTAGTCTCAGTAGACCAGAAGAAATAAACTTTGTGCTGTTGTGGTTTTAGTGAAGGGCACGGCAGTGATAAACAGTTTTCAAAATGAAGCTGGTTGGAGTCTGATTCATAACATCAAATTAATGCCTCTTCTCAATAAAATCAATTTCTGTGAAGAATAAATAATCTCTATATGAGGCAGGTGGTGAAGTAATTACTACACCAAAACGGATGGAAATTATGTAACTCCTGGGTCAGTCTGATCATTATCTTAGTATTTCTGTCTGAATC